TCAAGGAGTCCTACGATTATTACACACCTTTCAAAATGGTATGTATCCTCAAGCAGAAAAATTTCCCATCCCTTCTACCTGAAGAATTCAACATTCCAAGACATATCCAATATACTGGATCCTTAAGCAACGAAAAGTTAGACAATCTAAAAGAACAGCTTTGCTTCATTCCAGAAAAAGATAAGTGGTATTATGAAGCCATCATAGAGCAAACGACAATTTTAAGAAGGTGATACAATATCCTTAGACTGATTCAAAAGATGCTTAGAAATTCAGTGTTTGTCACCCCTTTGTAAAATCAAAAATATAAGTGTTTACTTGACATCCATGTTATTTTTTTTCTGATTATAGCGCTTATTCAAAAGAAAAAGCAAATATTTATCCTAGATGAAGGAGGTAAGTCCACATACCCCCTTCATTTTGGCATAGACATAATTTCTAACACAAAAAAGTTTTGGATAAAAGAGGTAAGTACAAATATATATTTTTCAAATAAGTTTTTAAAAATCGGGGAGATTTTTGTTTTTACAATAAAATTTATACATATCCTACCTGTGAGAATAAAAAAAAAACGGTTTAAAAAATCTATTAATAAAAAAGTTCCAGCAATAAAACTTTGGAGTTAAATTTCTCAAAAACTTACTTTTGTTACTTACTCCCTTCATCCACTCACCCCTTCAATTAACATGGGTCACAAAAAAATAGTTGTTAACCACAATAAAACAGCCAAAATCGAATACCTCGGTCATATCATGAGAAACAGTGAAAATATGAGTTGCTGTAGTTAATTTTACAGAGAAACGTAAATGGAAAACGGGGACCAGGAAGGCGAATGATTTCCTCCCTGAAAAATCTACACAGCAACCACAAATCTTTTTAGAGCACCAATGTGCAAAATATAGATTGCCATAATGGTCTACAATATCCGAAATGGATTAGCAATAGAAGAAGAAGTATTGAATCAGATTAACAGAGACATAATTAAAATAGATCATTAAAATTCAATAAATAATTTTGTTTGGTAATTATATTGAAATTTCTTAAAATTAAAAATTAAATTTGATTTTCTAATAGATTTAAAAATCATAATAATACGAATGTTAATTGTTAATATATAAAAATACATAAATTAATATATGAATAAGACATTTAAATTGTTTGTACGTCACATAATCTATTTGGAAATGTATAGCGATTGAAAAAGTGACATCACTAAACCAAATTGATTGTAACAAAAGACCATTACGGTTACCTTCTTTATCGCCTATACAATCAATCATTCGTTAATTTATGTTACAATGACGTACTAAAGGTGCCATCACTGGATTTAATATATAATTCGTAACTTATATAATTATTTTAACAAATGGTAAAGGATTTACGAATTGGCGGTTATTTAATCTACCTTACAACCAAAAAACTGTTTTTGCTTTCTAGTTAAGATGTTTTCTTTGAAATATCAGCACCTTCAGAAAAATTCTATTTTAAACTTATATTAAAAATATCAGTCCTGTGAAAAGACTGATATTTTATCATTTATTTTGTTGATTATGTAGACACTCTCTCCTCTATACTATTCAATCTGGCTCTGGAAAAAGTAATACGTATGTCACAAATCACAATCACTGAACGCAACCACAAATCCTACGACCACTTGTTATAGAAAATCATCGAATACGAATTTGTATACCTGGAAGCGTTCCTTAACACTGAAAATAATACTACCGCAGAGATAAACCACAGAATTTGCACGACCAACAGATGGATTTTGGAATCAATCTCCTCCTTAAATCCACAATTATATCGAGAAATACAAAAATAAAACTCTAAAAAAATATCCGAAACATATTTACGTTTCGAATATTTCCAAAGAAAAGTACTAAGGCGACTTTATGGTGCAGTGTGTGTAAGAAGACGATACAATTTCGAATTTTGTAGAATATACCGGGATCCTGATATCGTAAAACATGTTAAGATAGGACGTCTGAAGTGGATAGGGCATGTAATGCGGATGGAACAAAATGACCCATGAAAAAGGCTTCTTGATATACCCATTGGTCAGAAAAGAGGAAGATCCAGAACAAGGTTCCTTGATAACATCGATGAAGACATGCGAAATATGGGAATACGTGCTTGGCGGAAAAAGCGATGGATAGAGACGATTGCAGAAAAATTTTTGAGGAGGCTAGGACAATTATTTTGTATCTGGAAATGGCTACTGAAAGAATGGTAATTTTCCTCTGAAACGGTTGTACGGTACGGTAGCAAGATATTCCGATAAATAGTTACTCAAAAATAAATTATATGATTCTATATATCGATGGCTTAACTTGCAAATCGGCTAACTCCATTTTTTACTGAAAAACAGGTTTTGGCGTTGTCGACTGCGTCTATAAGTTGTCGCTCACATTATGTTAAATAAAATATCTCCCTAGCTTTTAAAATTACGGAGAAAAGTGAAGAAGAACCTAGGAGAATTAAGAGAAGAAGAAGGTGATGAACAAGCTTCACAGGGAAAATGAGCAACAGTATACTGGGCGTAAAAAAATTAAAGGGAAATGGGAAAGAACACAAAAAAAAACGAGTTCTTAAACCTCGATGCAAATGTAGGACAACTGATAAAAATGCTTTAAAATGTAGCGAAGGTTCAGAAGAAGAAAGGAAAACTATATTTGAGATGTTTTGGAGGATGACTTAGGGGGAAAAATGGTTTTGTGCAAGAGATACCCACAAAACGTCCAAGAGACAGAAAAGACCCATTATTAACAAGAAGAAAAAGCACAATGGTATTTAACTTAAATTTGACTAACGAATGTCGCGTGAGAGTTTGTAAAACAAATCAACACGCAACAAAAAATCTCTACGAAGTAGAAGTGAAATCACTTAAAGAGTTTTTGAACAATATTCCAAAAATGGAATCCCATTATTGCCGCAAAAGTTAGGCCAAACTTTATTTGTTGCCAGAATAGACATAAAAAAAAACTCTGTACAATTTCTACACATTAGACTAGTGCACGTCACGGAATACCAAACACTTTAGAAATTGAAAATATATCACTGTTTAAGCCAGAAAAAGCTCTCTCTCTCTCTCTCTCTCTTGTCAACCATTTTCCACCCACTCCTGAATGTAGGTCTCTCCCAATTGCTTCCATCTTTCTCTATCTTGCACCAATCTAATCCACTGTTTGCCTGCCACTGTCTTATGTCATCTACCCATCTTTTTTGAGGTCTTCCCATGCTTCTTGTTGTCGTCCTTGGTCTCCATTCCAGTATTCTCCGTGTCCACCTGTTGTCATTATATCGGGCTACGTGACCTGCTCAGAGCCATTTCATTTTTGTAATTTCTTCCACAATATCCCTAATCTTCGTTCTATGTCTTATCTCGGTGTTTCTAATCTTGTCTCTTCGTGATAATCCAATCCAGCATGATTCGTTCCATTGCTCTTTGCGTTGTTTCTAATTTTTTAGCAGATTTTTTGGTAAGGGCTACTGTCTCCAAGCCGTAGGTACAAACTGGTAGTATGCATGTGTTATACACCTTTTTCTTTAAGTTTATAGGAATTGAAGTGTTTTTCAAGATATGTGCTAGTTTGCCGAAAGCGCACAATGTCAGTTGTGTTCTTCTTTTAATTTCAACATCTTGATTTGGTTTTCCTAGTTTGATAACATGACCTAGATATACATGAATGTGAGAAGTGAGAAATCTCCAAAAAAAGATGAATGTGAAAAGTGTCTCTCTCACAAACTAGGAAATATACCTAACACAGAACACAAGGAGCACATAGAAAAAAAAAATGAAGCTAGACTTTAACAAGAACAGGATAAAAATACAGAAGAATTTGTATTCACAATGGACACACAAGTTGTGTGATTGGCACCCATGTGTCATCTCTAACATTATAAAACTAATATATGCTTGCTAATTTCTGTATATTTAATATAAAAAATAAAGACACATTTTGTTATCTCTAAACCGGGACCGAAGGTGGGTTATCCTCTGACAATTACGCTACCATAATTGTCAAGTTTATCACAGAGAAATTTTTGCCGAGTATTCACAGAGCACCTGGACAGGATACTAAAATTATATTGTACAGTTATCGATGTACAGCGCAAAATAGAAACGAAATATTGGCTAATACATTATTTAACGTGGCAACATTATACAATGTCACAATTCAGCAAAAGTATCTAGATGTAGGCCATACCCAGATGGAAGCGGACACAATGCATGCCACCATAGAGAGGAAACTGAAAAACAAAATAATTCATGTACTAGCTGAATATGCACAGTTTGTGTTGGAGCACGCAAACATCCTAAACCTTACAACGTATCTTTTAAATCCTTCGCAAGTTTACAATTTTATAAGTCAGTAAGACCAGGAAAGCTATATGAGAAGCCAAGGTACTTTTAACGTTAATTTTGTTTGGTCTTCTACAGATACAGAAACCGAAAACTTTGTTAAATTATTAATGTTTTGTTTTTTAGGTCACAGATATTCGTGCCCTACAATATAAACAAGAGAACCTGTACTTTAAGTTACGGTTTACAGATGAATGGCAGTTACTTCCACAGCGATGTGATGAAAGGGTCTCAGTGAAACCTATTGAAAGCTTACTGAATCTTCATGAAAATCGGCTTAAAATCAGTTGATTATAAAATAAAAATAAACAAAAATATACTTACAGATTGATTTCATTTTCAAAAAGGGCAACTCCGTTTATTTAATATTTTCTTTTAACTACAAACAGGGTAACTCCAAAAATTGAAATAATTGTTATTTAATCAAAATATTTTATGCTTTTTGGCGACTTAAAAGTGCAAAATAAATAGGCAACAAATATATTTTTGGAGTATTGATATTGTAAGTATTAATTTTTTTAAGAAGTTTTTTTGTGTTCCTCTAAAGTTTTAAAAAACGGAGTTAGCCGCAGTGCAAGTTAAGCTCATATAAGATAATATATGTAATATTGAACATATGTATAATAAATTAACTTACGTATAGTAAACCTGTGGGAAATCACTCCTGCCACGAAAAATTGCAATAGAAAACAACCGAAGAATTTCCCGTTCATGTTCGTCGATAAAACCTTGCAGATTACTTGACAAACAAACCGTGTCCGCTCTTTTTATAGAAGACGGAGATAAACGTAAAATGTAAATGGGAGCCTCCGATTCAAACTATTGTTTTGTTTTAGCTGATAAATATTTCATTACCTCAACTGAGCTGTGGTCGACTACAAGGAAAATAATATAATCGTATATAATCTATATGCTAATTAGGAAAATTGGTTAGACGATTAAATTAGAACTCGTAGAATCTTGTGGCTTAATGAAAAATGTCTTACAGAGCGGTACATTTTTTTTTGTTAGTTTCTTTGGTGACTTTTCTTATTATTCTGGATAGTTTTCCGAGCTTATCTCAGTAATACTTTATTTGTCGTCCTTATTCTTTATTAACTATAATATCTCTCGCGTAACCAACACTTTGTTTCCCTTGATAGTTGTGGTTACATAATTGTCACCCACTTCTTTTATCAGTGTATTTATGTAGTTTACTTTTTCAGCTACGTCGCTTGTATTGTTTATTTGTTCATGTTTTTGAGTTTTTCGTTGGTTTCTTTGTTTAGGTGTTTGTTATAGTAAAGAATTTGTACATAATATGTGTCAAGAGGCTGATGAATCTTACTATAATTGTTTAATTAAGTAATATCACCATTTTTGAATGATATAGGTCTAGACCTAGACCTATATCAAAGTAGGGAACAAGCTGGATTCAGAGCAAACTTTGGAACCAACGATCACCTCCATACAATAAAACAACTGATCGAAAAATCTATAGAATATAACAAGCCCTTAGTTTTAACATTCGTAGATTTTAACAAAGCATTCGACTCAGTAGAACTGACAGTGTTATAGAAGCACTAAACTAGAGCCGCATTGATAGCCGATATTCGAGGCTTATATAAAAATACGACAAGATCGATACAACTACACTCTAACAACAACCAAATAAAAATCCAAAGAGGTATCCGACTAATGGATACGTTGTCACCTAAACTTTTCATATCGGCTCTAGAAAAAGCGTTCAAAACTCTCGAATGGGGTGAAAATAGGTGAATGATAGGGGTCACTCAACGAGACAGGATTAAAAACGAAGATCTACGAGCTAAGACCAAAGTCATAGACGTCATTGAAAGAAGCTGTAACTTAAAATGGAAACGGGCTGGACACGTTACCAGAATAAAGGACGGAAGATGGATTCGCAAACTAGTTGAATGGAGACCAAGAGCCGATAAACGTAATAGAGGAAGATCACCAACACGATGGCAAGACAACAAAAAACTGGATACAGCAAGCACAAGATAGAACACTTTGGAGACAAACAGGGGAGGCCTATTTCCGGGAGTGGATTGAGAGAAGCTGATGATGATGATGATCATTTTTGAATAACAAAACTATCACTTCATTGTTCCAGTCTTCTGAAATCGTACTCTGATATTTTTTATCATAACTAATAAATTAGCAACCGGAAGGATATTGTACAAGTTAATGTGATGAGTTTAGGGCAGGTTCCTTGATTCTATAGAATAAAATATAGAATAGAATAGAAAGATGCTTTATTGTCACTGAAAATTGTACAATTTTTATGGACAAAACTTACAAAAAGTCAAAAAAATGACAATAACAATTAACATTTACTAAAATTACATAAATTGTCAATATCTCAAAATAAAAGATAATCAAATTTACAATCCATTGTGAAATTTAACTAAATTGCAAATTGCATAATAAAACCTTAGGGACTAATAAGTTTAAGTTGCTGCATGTGATATCCAAATATATATATAAATACTTAGTTATTTACTTACCTACTCCATGGCGTTACAACTAGATGGAAAACGTTTTATAAAAATTTTTTTTGTTTCTACTTATAAGCAATTTGCCCAGTTTATTTTATTATATTGTTAAATGTATCAATGAAACAAATTAACTGCTTAATAGTTTGCATTAAAAATTTTAGCAACCGAAAATAATTATTCTAATAAAATTCTAAATTAGCCCACAATTTCGTTTTAATTTATAACAAATTTTGCTGAGATCCAGAGGAACAAAAAATCGAGAAGACAAAAGAAATGTCAACGAACTAAATAAAGATTTTAAAAAACAACTAGAAAAGCATTAAATGAAAGTTTACTTACTTACTTACTCCGTGGCGTTACAACCCATCGTGGGTTTTAGCCGACTCGACAACATGCCTCCACTGTTTTCTCTCTTGAGCAACCTCCATCCAATTATCCACGCTCATAGTGCTTAGGTCTCCTGCTATATTATCTCGCCATTGGAGACGAGGACGTCCACGTGGTCTCCTTCCAGTTGGGACTTCCTCTCACACCAGTCTTACTGTTCGTTCGTCAGAATGTCTTCTGAGGTATCCAGTCCATTGGAGTCTTCTGGACTTTATTTCTTTTATGATGGCGTCTGGGTAAAGTTCTTCGAGCTCTTTGTTAGTTCTTATCTCATATTGTCCTGATGCTTCATCCAGCACAGGATCAAAGATCTTCTTTAGGATTTTTCTTTCCCAAACACATAATCTCTCTTCGTTTGCCTTTGTTATCGTCCACGTTTCGCTTCCATACATCACAATGGGTCGTATGATTGTTTTATAGACCTGTATCTTCGTACGTCTTGTTAGTTGTTGCGATTTTATAAGGTTTTGGAGAGCTAAAAGACATCTGTTGCTGGCCTGAATCCTGTTGTTGTTGTTATTTCTTGTGATCCGTTATTGTCTTCAGTTATTGTTGTTTCAAGATACTTGAATTCTCTAACGCGCTCAAAGTTAAAGTCATCGATGATGATATTCTGATCGATTCTATCTCTGCTTTGGTTATTGCGGCTGATATACATATATTTCGTCTTGATTTCGTTGATTTGGAGCCCCATCTTCTCTGCTTCCTTCTCGTACCTCACGAAAGTCTCCTTCATCCTTAATCGTGTGTTATTAGATCGATATCGTCTGCAAATGCCAGTAGTAAGTTTGGTCCTTCTCGATGAAATACTGTATTCGGTTTTTTCTATTCTTGCACTTCTAATTATGTGCTCCAGAGCTGAGTTGAAGAGTTGTGGTAAAAGTGCATTTCCCTGTTTTAGTCCATTGTATATTTCAAATGTCTCCGAGTATTGTTGTTTAACTCTCACCTTACATCGTTACCATTCCATACACATCCGTATCAATCTGACTAGTTTTTTTGGAAAGGCAAGTTTGCAATGCTTGTTTAAGTTCTATGAACATCTGATGAAGCTCACGATCAAACTCTCAACATTTTTCTATTATCTGTTTTATTGTGAATATCTGGTCAATAGTAGAGCGGCCCGGTCTAAATCCGCATTGATAATCTCCAACGATTTCTTCTGTGTATGTTGTGGTTCTTTCTAGCAGGATGCTTACAAGGATTTTGTAGGTGATGTTTAGCAGTGTTATTCCCCGGTAGTTAATACATTGCTTTTTGTTTCCTTTTTTGTATATTGGTAAATAACCCCTTCTTTCCATTCATCTGGCATTGTTTCTTCTCGCCAAATATCTTGAATTAGCTTATACATAGAACTGTACAACGCTTCTTCTTTATGTTTTAAGCACTCTGCGGGAATACCATCGCTACCTGATGTCTAATTATTTTTAAGTTTTTCAATTGCCTGTATTACTTCCTCGTATATCAGGTATTGGTCTTTTATTTCAGCTGTATGTACCTCTATGTTTGATGTATTTCTGCTAGATTAGTCGTTCAATAGTTGATAGAAGTATTCCTTCCAGGTTTTAAGGATTTCCTTGTCGTCATTGAGAAGCTGTTCACTGTCGTTTTGAAGGAAGTTCCTGTTCTTGCTTGGTACCCGATCTTGATATCTGAGACTCCTTTGAAGAACTGTTTCGCTTGTTTCTTTTTTCTGTTTTCTTCTATATCTCTGATTATTTGTTCCTGATACTCCCTCTTCTTCTTTTTCATTAGTTTTCTTGTCTTTGTTATTCTTTGTCTATACATTTCATTGTTGTTGTGCGAGGGGTTTTGTAGCATGGTTCTTCTAGCCATATTTCTTGCTGTTATGGAGTTCAGGTAATCATCATCGAACCATTTTTTTGTTGTTTTCGTTTTGTGTCCTAGTATTTCAACTGATACGCTTGTCACAACTAATTTGATATTAGTTAAATAGTTAGATAGACCATAGTAGTAGATTTGGTAAATTTTTGTGAAAATCATCATGTTGTTACCTACGTCTGAAGGTAAACAAAATAGATGTTCAAAAATGTGAAAATTACAGTGTCACATAAATTTATTTATCCAAATCCTTATATTTATATGTTCTTTTTGTAATTGTGCCACCCGTTAGAATATTGGCAAGTATTTTCAAAACAATTTACCAAAAATTTGGAAAAATCTTAATGGAAAAATAAATAGTCTATCACGGAAAAAAACTCGTAAGTAGCGTATATTAAAAATCTATCACAATTAAAGAAACTTACTCAAATTAGCCAAACAGATAAAACGTAAAGTTACATATAAGTATAATTAGTTTGTTTATAACATTTATGCCTTGTTTTCGTCTGCTTTCTAATTTTCAGTTCAAGTTTTTGTGGCCAAAGGCTATTTGTAATATCTATTAGACAAGGCTTGGGTTCGTTCGGAAAAATATTCTCATGATTTACCCCAAAATAAGTTTGAAGGGATCGCCCAGGAGAAAAGTTATTCAAATTAAAAAAAATAAACAAATTGTAACAATAAATTTTTTCGACCCGTACAATTTTTTTGAATTTTTTGGATCATTCTGAACAAAATAGATCTCTTGTAGTTTTTCCGTAAACTTGATCGTTTTCGAGTTATAAATAATTTAAAACTGATAAAACGCAAAATTTCGATTTTCAGGGCTCAAAATCACAAGTAAAAAATATAATTTTTTAATTCACTACCTAAATTCAAGTTTAAACCTTTTGTATCGTTTCCCGATAAGTATTTTAAGCCTATTTCAATTAAAAACAATGGTTTAATTAGATATTTATGCACCAATGGTGTTATTAAGATGA